CCCACACAATCTGATACAGACACACATGGGCTGACACCCCCCTCACACACACACACGCGCGCACGCGTGGCATGACGGACGCGCATGGTCTGACCTACAGCCTCGCACATGCACACGGCCTGATACGCTGCTGCCAGCTCCCCCCGGGACCCTGGCACAGCTCCCTGCCCAGGGCAAGGGGCCAAGTTCTGGGCGGCTCCTGGCTGTGCAAGGACCTTCCTCCCGCCGTTTTTTTTGCCGCGAAACCTCAGAGGCTTTCCCGCCCGGGCTCACGCTACTCCACCCCCGCCAGCCGGCTGAGCCCAGCACCTTGAGCTGGTGCCAGGGCTGCTGCTCCGCGGGCTTTCTGCTCACTGCTTGCCCCACCGAAGACTACGCGCACCTTCCCCTCGCCCCCCGCTCGCACGCTCACCGTCCTGTCTGGGCAGCAGGGAGCTTCTCTTTAGTGCAAGGCTCGAGCACTGGACGGGGGCTGGGGATCGCCTGTGGCGCTGCCCCAGCCTCCTGGGTAGCCTTGCCCTGGTCACTTCACTGCCCCAGTGCCTCAGTTTCCCCACTCTGTAAAGCAGGGTGCAGCCCCATGAGCCCCTCAGGCACAAAGGGAGCCCTCTTGACATCCCGCCATGCCCCAAGCGCCCAGAGCAACTCAGTGGCCAAGCAACCCGCGTGCAACCCCCTGGGCCAGCACTGCTCTGCCTCCTTTCTCCTTCCAGCCTGCATCCACCTGCTCCATGCTGCGCTCCCCACATGGGCACCTGGCTCACGGGGCTAAGCTAGCCATCCCTCTGCAGACAGAGCGGGGCAACTCCCTCTCCGCCCTGCCATAGCCAGCGGGGATCCCCTGAGCATGGCAGCGAACCACCCGGGAACCCCCAGCCCCAGAGCAAACCAGCCAAGACCCCCCCAGCAGCCAGCATGGCCAGGCCAAAGCAGCTGGGGGGGTGCAGAGCTCATCTCTGCACTGCGGTTTGAGGTGAGCTGCACCCTGGCTCGACGGGAGAAGAAAGCTCCCACCTGGGCTTTGGGAGAGGGGGGACGTCGGTGGGGAAGGGGCTGGCACCGACCCCGCGGGCGAGACCGGCTGGGACACTTTCCCCTGCGGGACACCTCCAGCACTCCCCAGCTGCCACAGGGCCGGAGCGGGAAGCAGCCAGCCGGCAGGAGGGAGAACTGGCGCTTTGTTACCCGCCGTTCCTGACCTGCTGCTCACTGGGCCGGGGGCCAGATACCAGGGAGTGTCTCCGGGCTCCGCGCGCTTTGCCGCCAAAGCCAGCCGGCTGGTGCCAGGAGCCAGGCCCTGCCCTGCAAAGGACATCCAGCAACCCAGCCAGCCTGGGGGAACATGGGCTGCACCCACCCCACGGGAGCTTGGCTCACAGAGACTGGCCCCGGTGCTTATCGCGGCAGCAGGGGACATATTGTGCTGCGATGGCTTCGGGGACACTAAGCCACCCGCTTATCTAGCGCCCAGAGAAAGCAAACTCCATTCCTGCTTTACCCGGAATGGGCTGCAAGAGCCCTTGCCCTCAACAACTGCTGCAGCAGGCGCTACCATCCCCCAGGTCCGACCTGCGGGGTCCTTTGCTGACTGATGCCCTGGCTGTGTGACCTCATGGTCTGGGACTCAAGAGATCTGGGTCTTTTCCTAGCTAGACCATCACCTCCCTTGGTAACCCCAGGCAAGTTTGTCTCTGTGTGCCTCGGTTTACTCAGCTGCAAAATGGGCATGATGCCATTTCCCTCCTCCATGCAATGAATGGATAGAAAATCTGCAGAGACTACACCCACCCATCCTAGCAAAATGGGGCACGTGACGTCTAGCATGCCACTTCCCTAACCATGTAGAAGCTCCCACACATGATGCGAGGGAACCGCCGCAGGCCTCGGAGCCACACAACACCCGGCCTCCCCACAGCTGTACAGCACCGCACCCCACGGTGTTTGTACCTGAAGAGTCCTTGCTGCGCCGGTGCATTCGGGCACATCCGCTCCCCGATGCCCAATGCTGGAATCACAAGCAGGTGGGGAAATCCCAAGCATCGTGGGACGGAAAGAGATGCACCAAGCCCCTGTCTCAGCAACGGGGCCCATGCAGGAAACCAGACTGAGCTGATGAGGCCTGTGGATCCAGGGCACAGTCACCCACCTGCACGTGTAAACCCCGGGGCGGCTGCTGATAGCAGGCTGCAGAGGTAAGGGATCCTGTGTGCCCAGGGATCAGATGCCCACAGGGCACCTCCCTTAGTAAAGCAAGCATCTCTCACATGCAGGGCACAGCAGGCACCACGAGCCGCTGGCAAACGCTGCCCCGGGGGGAAGTGCTGCTCCCAGCACGGAGCCCAAGTGCAACTCGGAGAGCTCCCGTGGGCATGGGTGGACCTAGGATTTTGAAAAGCGGGGTGCAGCTGGGGAGGTGCCTCATCCCATAAAAACAACACGTATTTTTCTCCGGTTAAAAATAAACTAGAAGCTCTACCAGCAAGCCGGGGCCCTAGGGCTGGATTCTTCTTTTAGGATCAAAGCAAACACAAAGATAACATCGCTGGAGTGAGTGAAACACAACCTGCAGGGCTGTGAAATAGGAGCTTCGTTAAGGAGAGCAGCCAACAGAGAGAAGAATGGCAGGACCGACCCCTGCGGGAAAGGCTGGAGCTGGGATTCAGCTGGAGCCCAGGCAGCCTCTCTGCTCCCTGCCTTGCCCAGCTCCTCCGGACCAAGAGCTGCCTCGGAGACCCCGTGCTTCCTGCCATGCTGGCCCCAGACCCGTGCCGCCCAGCTCAGGCCTCATGACGCCAGCTTGCAGGGGCTTGGTCCAGCTGCAAAGACCGCCCCTGCATCCCCAGGACAGGCGCTGCATGCGCCACGGACCTCAGCTCCCTTCCTGCCAAGGAAAGCTCCTGCGGCTGCTCTATCGTGGACGGACTGGGCGATGCGGGGAACAGCCCAGGCAGAGCCTGTGCCAGGAGAGAGCCGTGTCCCTCGTGCCCCTGACCCCCTCCATGCTGCTTTCCATCCTCCGTGAGCCCTGCCCACTCCTGAGCTGCACCGATGTGACTCGTCGCAGTCCCCCCAGGTCTCCGGCCAGGCCCAGAGGACACTGGGGCAGCGTGAGGCAGGAGGCCACAGGACATGGGATGGGCAATGGCATCCCAGGCTGGAGGAAGCACGTGCAGGCCCTTTAATGCCCACGTCTCTTGTCTCGCTTTTGTTTGCTGGCTCTGCGCCCCAGCGGAGCCGGCCTGCTGGTCCCCGGCAAGCCACGGGTGGGCTATAATCCCCCCTTGTTCTGCCCGCGTGTGGCAGGGCCAGTGTCAGCCAGGAACCCTACCAACCGCATCAAAGCCTGGCCCTGCTACCGTCAGTGCAAGGCAGAGCACGCGGGGACCGCATCCCAGCCCCGAGCTCAGCCAGCTGGGCCAGGGCCAGGAGGGGCGCGGGAAAACAGGCAGGCACAAGAAGCCGCATCTCCTGGCATGGCTGGAGCCTCCCCGAGGTCTGGGGGCCACTGGATGCTGAGCCCCTGCCAAGCCACGGGCAACAGGGCAGGGAGCCGCTGCGGCACGTCTACAAAGCCAGGCCTTCCCCTGCGCTCTGCAGGCAGCCGCGGGGCGCCCCACATCAGCGCCCTGTTCCCTGGGCTGATATCTTGGCTTAACGCGGCCCTGGCCAAGCAGGTTGAGCTCTGCAGGCTGCAGCACAACCCAACAGCAACCAAGACCCACCAGGACTCAACCCACTCGCCTTGCTCCCTCACCCGGGGGTCCTTCTCCTGCCCCCAGCCTGCACGCAGGACCTCAGTGAACACCCCAACCTGGCCTGGCGCTGCCTTGGCGGTCCTCCGGCCAGGGGAGCCTCCTGGGTTAAACCCGGCTCTGCCCAGCTCCTAGCCACACCAGCATGGAGTCAGGGCCCCTTCCCTGCTGGCCAGGCCCCCCTGAGCAAAAGCAGCCTTGTGCCACCTCACAGCAGCCCGAGAAGGCAAGGCGAGACACCTTTGCACCTTCTGCCAGCTGCCGAGACCCCTTCAGGAGCTGGTGCCTCCCCAGGCTGAAGCCAGGTGTGTACTGGGGGGAGCCGCCCCCCACCGCATGCGCATTTAGCAGAGACAGCCCTAAAGCAAGCCCTAGCTTCCAGACCCTGCTTACACCATCAGGCTTGGGGGCTTGGGTGCCACTCTACTCCTTATCACAAAGCTCTGGGTACACACGGCCGTTGCACAACTCGCTGCAGCCAACAGTCCTGTTTATTTTTAAGCTCTTGCAACACGGTTTCAAAGAACATCTCCCCTGCAAAGGACAGCCCCATGGCTTGCAGCGGAGGAGCTGAGCTTGGAGCAGAAGTCTCTCGGCAAGGGAGGGGAGAAGGCACTTTCACAAGTGCTCCTGAGAGCCAGGACAGCCAAGAGGCCAGTGGGAGGAGACGTGATGCCCCCTGGCAAGAGGATTCCCAGAGGTGCGGAGGGTGGAGTGGTGCCCGACAGCACCTTGGCCCTGGGGCAGGGATGTTTCCAGCTTTCAAGGCACTGGCGGGTAGGAAAGGGGGAGTGGGGTCTGGGACACCCATGCAAGGCCTGAAAGCCCCTCGTACCACGAGCACTCACCCCCAGAGACATGCCCTGCATCCCATGCCAAACCTCATCTCCACCTGGCCATTGCCCCAGGCAGCATCCTCACTTCCATGGACGCTCAGCTCAGTGAGAGATGCCCCAACTCCACGACCTGCAGACATCTAGCCACCGACTTGGCAGCGATGCCGGACTGTGATGCCCTCCAGCTGGGACCCCAGCCTCAAGGGAGCTTCTGCAGAAGAAATCCATGGAGCCTCCCAGTCATTTCAGGGCTGATTTTTGATTCCTTCACCAGCTTAGCAAGAAGGAAGCACCAGGGCCCAAGCAGACAGCCTGGCTGTCCTCTCATCAGTTGCCCCCACAACAGCTTGGCAGAAGGGTTAACAGGTTCTCTGGGTGTGCATTACACACACACACACCCACACACACACACCCAGCCAGCCAGAGGCAAGCGGTGGATGAGCAAAAGCTACCGGCAAGTTGGACCCCAGGCCAGAGCTACCCTCCTGTCTAGGGATGGAGTGGGGAAGGGGCACTGTGCAGAGCAGGCGGGCGGGCAGCTTCTCCAGCTGTTTGCTCTGTCCAGTCCTTTCCTGCCCTGCAATCCAGTCTGGGAACCCAAGAGCACGTGAGATCCAGCTCGGGGCTGCTAATCCCCCGGTGCGTCCGGTTTGCACCTTGCAGCTGCCACGTGTCTGCATGCCACCCCCCAAACAGCCCCTGCAGCCCTCTGCATATGGGAACGCCCATTGCTGGAGGGGTGGATGGTTGGGGAGGGGTCCAGCACATGCATCATGAGCCTGATCCACGTTTTACACTGCCCATGGCCTCCACTGGGGTGCCAGGGAGATTAGCATTGAGCCCAGATGCTTCTCCTACCTCCCCCACGTGCAACCGCCAAACGGCTCCATCTCCTCCCATGCCCAGAGCAGCCTGGACAATAACCTCGGAAGACAAGAGCTCAGTCCTCCTGCCTGCCAGGAATATCCCTGCTGCCCTCTGACCCAAGCTAATGAGAGGCATTTCCCAGAGATCAAGGCTTGCAGCAGGGAGGAGGAATTATCTCCTGGCTGCTAATCCCCTTGCTCACATGCACGAACACATCAGGAAAGGATGGCGCAATAGAGAGACAGCCCCTTCCAGCCCCTGCCCAGGGGTTTGAGCAAAAGGGGACACTTTCCCAGGCTCTCTCCCTTTACAGTCAGCAGTGGTGGTGTGCTGGCTCACCTCTGGAGGGGCCTTCGGCAGGCATGCTCAGCAGGTCTCACAGAAGTAAGTTGGGGAAAGACCTGGGGCATGAGATGGGCCTGAGCTAAGGCAGCTGGATCCCCTGCAGAAAAGGGGACACTGCACTCTTACACGCTGGTATCTGCCCACAGTCGTTCTCCCAGCACGTGCCGGAAGTTCTCCATGCACTTGGCAAAGACACAGGGCAGCATCCTTTGGCCTGGGTCACACTGGGGAGACCTGGAGGCTTTTCATCACCCCTCTTGGCCTCAACCGCCACAGGCATGTCAGCAGCACCCCACTCCCTCCTGGTCTCATCCCATCTGGCAGCTGGGGAAACAGAGACCCAAAGAGGTCAAGTGACTTGCCCAAGGCTGTAGAGCAAGGCAGTGGCATAGAAGGCACGGCAACTGCCGACTGCAGCGTCCCACCTTCCTGCCCTGCAGCCCCAAGGAGGAAGCGCTTCTGCCTTGACCAGCATGAGGCTTTTCTAAGCAGCTCTTGCCTTATCTAGGTGCATGTTATATGGGGCAAGTGACATCTGGTAGCCTGGCCACTGCCAGCTGCTCTTCCCTGCCATTGTTCTGGGCTGTCTCCATGCTGGCCGTGTGCTGCCAGGGCTGGGGTAACCCTATCCGTCTCTCTGGCACACACCTGTTGTCACAAGCCGTCCTCCCCAAGAGCAGGGCATAGCTCCAGCAGGGCCTTACCACGGGCCACCTGGGTTCGATGAGGGGTGGCATCCTCTGCCAGGCCCCTACTCCGAGGACGAGTCCTAGGGCAGCAGAGATGACCGCACTGGTGCTGTGTCCCTCAAGGCAGGGCTGCGATGGGCTGGGCACGTCCAGAAGACATCGGACAACATCTTTCCAAAGAAACTTCTCCTCTTCCCGGGGAGGGCTCGCTGCTGCCCCGTAGCTCTTCTCATAGCATGCAGCTGGCTCCTGCCACCAAGGGCCATTCAGGTGGGACAGGACGTAGTGCCAGCTAAGCTACCCTGGCACAGCCCTCGATGGGAGCCCCCTGTGCTGAAACACGAGGCAAGGAAGGCTGGCTCTGGCTAGCCGGTGGCGGCAGAGGTAGTCCTCTTCAGTGAGGAGGACGGAGGGAGAGGTTGGAGCAGCTCTACCTGGCCTCTCTGCTCCTCTCCCCCAAGATTGGGCTACAGGCCCTGGGGTGGACTGAGAATGGCACCCCAAGAATCGGGGAGAGGTGCTGGGACTGAGTTAGCTGCCTGCTATACTGGCAGTGCCAGGCCCTGTGCTGATGAGGCAGGAAAGGGCTGAGTTGCTTGGCTAATGGAAAGGACAGGGTCATGAGCACTGCACCACGCTCCGGCCCAGGTGAAGGCTGGAACTGGCCCAGCTGGACCGCAAGAGCTCAGAGCAACCCTTCCAGCCAGGAGAGGACTCCAGGCAAGGAAGTCTCCATGGTGGGTAAAGGCCAGCCGTGCGTCAGAGGCACATCAGAATTGAATGGGTCACCAAGGCCAAATCCCCATCCTGGCCCTTCCTCTGTTGCTTTTTCCAGTGCCAAATGCGCCAGGCTGGGAAACGGCAGCAGCAAGAAGGCATCAATCAGCAGCCGCACAGCGCCAAGACTACACAGTGCTCGTGCAGGGTCGGGCCAGGGTGGAGAGGCCTTTAATTGATAAAAAGATACAAGCCGACCAGGCCGGCACTGTTCCCTAATCCCCCTGTAATTAATGACCTTATCTTTGGCCAAAGCCATTTAGATAAAGTGGCTGATGCGCTGGGCTCCGGGCCTGGCAGCCCAGATGGGAGGGCTGCATTTGTCTGGGGATTAGCAGAGGGCAGATGGCGCTAAATGGCATTCCTCATCCTCATTCCGCTCCACACCAACAGCCTGAAACTCGAGACCACAACAACTTTCTCAATTTTTTTTTCCAAGGCTCCTTTCAGCAGGCAGCAGGGAGGAGTGTGTGTGTATTGGGGGGGAACCAAGAGCTGGGAGACCAACAAGAGGCAGAGATCTGAACAAAGATCACGCACCAGAAGCTGGTTTCGATCTCAGCCGGCCACAACTGCCTTCTGTCCCGGCCCAGGGTGCAATCACTTACCTGAAGCGGGGTGGCGGGGGGGTGGAAGCAGCCTTTGCTGGGTTTCAGGTCTAGCGGCTGTGCACGCAGGGCATGGAGATTAAGTTGAGCTGTGAGAGCTGCTGGGATAATTTTGCCTGCTGTCTAAGAGCGACGGCTAGCCAAGAAGAGCGTTACAATGAGCACTGACTTCCCCCCCACTCCAGCCACAGGTTATTCCAAAAAAGATACCACTGCCTGGAGCCAGACAGCCTCGCACCCTTCCCCCAAGCCCATCAGGCACAGTCAAGGATCCCGGAAGTCCAGTCTCCTGGCACCGCTATTGATCTTTACATGGCAAATGCTCAGATTTTACAGCCCTGGACAGAAGCATAAAGCCTAAAATAGAGCATGGCCATGGCAAAGGATGCTCTTGCTGGGCAAACAAAGGGGAATGCGGTCTGAGCTGTCTCCCTCCATCCCCCCAGCAGTAAAAGGGGCTCAGCCTCATGGCAGGATCAGACACTCTCCGAGCTGCATTGGGATTAACTGCTTAGCTCAGCCCTGGGAGGAGGAGCCAGGCTGTGAAACAGAGCCCGGGTTCCCCAGGGAGCCCCGCGGACAGTACAGGTACAGGACATGCACATCACGCACAGGGCAAGAGCCCGTGTGGAAATGTCGCCCCATCATGGACATGGCCTCCCCCCACAGCTGCGTACCCAGCCCAAAGGGGGTCATCGATGGACCGTGCAAACAGCAGCTATTTTAGTAGCAGGATGCCGTCTGCCCTGGGGACAGCACAGTTCATAGTAAACTGATTAGGGACCTTAAACCCCTCTGATAGCATCTGATGGCACATGCTCAAGGAAGCAGGCAGATAATCCCCTGCTCCCCCCATTCACACAAGAGCTGCCAGGAGCATCCCAACCTGTGCTGGCAAGTGGTGTGTATGTATGTGTGCGTGCATGTGAGATGGGATGTATGCATCGATACATATGCATGGGGTGGGTGTGCATGTGTGTGCAAGCATGGGGTGGGGGGGAGCGGTGCGCATGTGCAGGCCTAGAAAACGCAGACTTGAAATTCAACTGGCAGATCCGTCCCCAAGCTGGCAAGAGAAAGTCAGCCTGCGGGTCCCCTTCCTGGTAATTCCATCCTCTCCCCAGCCCGGAGCATCTGTCTCGTCTTGGCCGTGCTCAGCAAACTGAGAGCAGCTGCGGGAACACCTTGAGCTCTGGCAGCGAGAAGCCCACACGGGAGAAACCTTAGCCACGTTCCAGTTGCTCCCTTTGCAATGGGAGGCCCAGGGGCCCAGCAAGAGGACGTTGCGGCTCGTATTTCAGCTGTGCACGGGGGAAGCAGCACTGGTGGTGGCTCGGCTGCTGCCCTCTGATCTGTCAGGAAGGAAACGCATGCATCTGCC